GGGGCGGTGGTGGCCGGCGCGGGAAGGTGCGCGAGCCCCCCAGGCGCGGCCACAGGTCCGCCTCGCCGTTGTGCAGGAGCACGAAGCGGCGCTGCGACAGCAGGGGCGTCATCCTCTGACTCCGTAAGCTCTTGTGGAAGGTCTCAAGCGCCAGGTCTGGGGAGGAGTGGGAAGAGTCGGGCTTTGGCGCGGGTGGAAAGGAGGTCCAGCCTCCCCAGAACTTGCCTGGGGTTCTGGGGGCAGGGGAGGAGAGCGGGCCTCGAAGGGTGGGACCCAGCTCGCCGTGAGGTGTAGGGGGACAACCTGAGCAGCGGGGTTGGGGCATGATGCAGGGTTTGGGCCTGCTGGAGAGCTAGATTTGTGGGATCTGATCTTGGGAGAGGGTAGGATAGAACACAGGACTGGGCAGGCAGGGAGAGGGTTCCTTCAACTTAGTGGAGGGGTCGGGATGCTGAGGCTCACCCAAGGTTTCCATGACCACACCAGGGATGACCTCCTTCAGGACTTCACAGTTGGTGTGCAGGGCAGGGTTGGAGTTCATTTCCAGTAGCCACACCTGGGCAGGACACTGGTGAACATCCCCACTCACCCTCCCACTCACCCACCCACCTACAGACCACTCAGCCAGCAGGAGGCTGGGGCCCTGGTTCCCAGGAAGCCAAGTAACTCTGGGCAGATGGCTTTTTCCCCTGTAACCTCCATCCCTTGTTTGACCATGGGTCTCTGTCCAGGGCTGCCCGGAGGAGGGGGTATGGATTTGCCCCAGCTGCAGTAGGAGCTGAGCCTGATGGATACAGCACCCTGGGGCTGGGAACAGGCAGGGTGGGTCTGACTGCAGAGTGCACCCACGGGCCTGTGGTGTGGTCGAGGTGTACAGATGGACCGTGCCTCCTTGCACCTGCCAATCAAACCTCATCCACTCAGGACAGCACCTTGAAGTTCTCATCAATCAGGAAGTCACAGCCAATGAGGTCGAAGTACCCCAGTTTACACTCCAGCTTTGACTTGACTGCCAGGAAGCAGTGGGCCATGATCTGCTGCATCCGCTTCTGTGGGTCAAGCAGGGAGGGATCACCGTCTCTGACCTGTGAGTCCTGGTGACATCTCCCAAGCCTGAGCTGTCAGTCACACTCCCACCTGCACCTGCTCCGCTACCCCACCATCCAGAAACTCACTCAACAAACCCATGGACTTCCTCCTGTGTGGCAGGAGGGCTGAGGATTCAAGGGTGAAGGGGACAGGAAACCTCTGTCCTCCAATGGCTCACTCACAGCAGGACCAGTCAACCAATGGGACCGGCAAAATCTTGGCCAGGACACAGAGCTCTGGACTGGGCTGGGGCTTAGTGGCAGAGCATTTGCCTAGCATGTGTGAGGCACTGGGTTCGATTCTCAACACCACATCAAAAAAAAAAATAAAATATTATATCCATCCTACAGCCAAAAATATTTTTTAAGAATGGGGAGCTCTCTAGTACTCAGATTCGCCTCATTAGTTTCACTTCCTGTTTCCCAGCTCAGCAGTAGCCTTGGAAAATATCTCCCATTAGTGGACCTAGTGGAACAAATCTTGACAGAAGGAAGGCAAGTAGAAGTTCTAGAGTGGACAAGTATTGTGTCTAAAATAAAAGGTCCACTGGTGCTGGGGGTGGTGGCATGCTTCTGTAGCCCCAGCCACACTTGAGCCCATGAGATTGGGGCCAAGGTATCTCTAAGTTGTGCAGGCTGGCCCCAGTCTCATTTTTTTTTTTAAATTTAAATTAGCCAGTCTGAGGAAAAGAAAGAATAATGAAGAAAAATAAAGCCTTAGAGACCTGGTTGTGGTAGTTCTCTAAGGATATAGCGCAGTTGGTAGAGTGCTTGCCTTGCATACACAAGGCCCTGGGTGCAATCCCCAGCACCACACACACACACACACACACAAAAAGGAGATACTTGGGTGTGGAACAGCATCATCAAGCAGACACACGCATAGTGAAAGGAGCCATGTTTGAAGAGTAATAAACTGGGAACAGTGGGCCACACCTGTCATCCTAGGGACTTGGGAGACTGAGGCAGGAGGATGGCAAGTTTGAGGTCAGCTTGGGATGTCTCAAAATAAAAAAATAGAAAAGGCCATGGTTGTAGCTCAATGCTGAAGTGCCCCTGGGTTCAATCCCGAGTTTGAAAGAAGAAATGTAAATCCTACCTTATCATAATTATATAATGGGTTAGAATCTCAAATGAGTTGGCAGAATGCATTGTTTAAAAAACTGCAGTAGGTTGTCTTTAATAGACTGTATTCAAAGACAACCCAAAACAAGGTCCAACTGGTCATGGACCGAAACCTCTAAAACTGTAAGCCACAAGAAAGCTCAGTGTCTGTTACAGGAACAGAAAGCTGACTAATGGGCTCTGCGTCAAAACCAGAAGAAGACAAGAAAACTTCAGGACCAATATTATTGATGAGCATAAACATAAAATTCTCAATAAAAACTAGCAAACAAAGACTAGTAGCATATTAAGTGATTACATCCCACTATCAAGTGGGATTTACCCCAGAAAAGGCAAGTAGAAGTTCTAGAGTGGACAAGTATTGTGTCTAAAATAAAAGGTCCACTTTTATTTTATTTCAGTATTTCAGCACAGAAAGGCTAACAGTGCCATACAAGACACTGAGTGAGGGGAAATAACACCCAATCAGGAAAAGTGACGGCACCATTCAACACCTTCCATGATAAAGCCACTGAGCAAACGAGGGGAAGAAAGGCACCCGGCATGACCAGGGAGCTGTGGAAACTCCCAGCTCAGGAGCCAGACAAGGAGACCAGGGGGATACTGGGACTGTAGGGCAGAAAAGAGGCAAAATTCATCCAGATTTGAAAGAAAGAATAAGACTCTCTCCATTCTCAGGTGACATGACCCTATGTACATAATGTGAATCAATCCTAAAAATCCACATACAAAATTAGTGCTCATAAATTCAGCAAAGTCGCAGTATACAAGGTCAACATGCACACACACACTATCAATTTGACAATCCCGAGAAGATATTAAGACAATAATTCCATTCACAATGTCACCCAAAAGAATAACACGGCTATGATCAATATTTATGAAGGTGGAAGACTGGTACGCTGAAAACTAGGAAACATCGCCAGAGCGGATGTAGAAAGACCTCCCCTGTTCATAGGTTGGAAAGCTAAATGTTGTTATGATGTCAGTGCTACCCAAAGTGATCTATAGACTCAAGGTACCCCTATTCCAACTTCAATGGACTGCCTCCCAGGAATGTAAACCGAATCCTTAAATTCATATGGAATCGCAAGGGACCCCAGAGAAGCCAAGACCATCTTGAAGAAGACCAACACGGAAAGGTTCACACTCCTGATTGCAAGACTCACGGCAGAGCTGCAGTGACCGAAAGGTGTGGTGCTGGCCTCAGGACAGTCACTGCGTGCATCAGCAGAGCTGAGAGTCCAGAAGGGAGCCCACACGAAGACCATTCAGTGAGGGCCGGACAGTCTGTGCAACAGAGCACAGGAGAACTCGAAGCCCCACCCCAGCAGAGGAGGCTGGATCCCGACCTCCCACTGGGCACAAAATCAGTCATCCAGAAAATGGGGAAGATTGCATTACCTTTAGAGGAAAACAAAAAAATTGATGATTTTTGTCCATTGTGGTTCTGGGGATCAAACCAAGCACCCTATGTAGGTAAGTGCTCTACTGCTGGGTTGCACCCAAACCTGGAAATAGTTTTTTAGATATGACATCCAAAACATGAAGAACCATAAGAAAAAAATAGATAAAATGGGCCTCCATCAAAATTAAAAGCTTTTGGCCAGGCATCGTGACCCACACCTGTAATCCTGCTTCTGCAAATTAATGAGACCCTGTCTCAAAATAAAAGTAATTTTGAAAAGGTCTGGGGACGCCACTCAATAGTAAAGGGCCCCTGGGTTCAATCCTCAGTACCACAATCAATATTTAAAAAGTAAAAGCTTTCAGACTTTATAAGTGTAAGGCCACGGTACAGTGTGTGCTCGGCACGCAACTTGGGCTGAGTTCAATTCCCAGCACCAAACAAAACAAAAACGAAATGCTTTTACGAACAAGGACATTATCAAGAAAGTGAAGACCACAAAAGGAGAGAAAATATTTTCGGATCATGTACGTGGCAAGGTTCTGGTATTCAGAACATCTGAAGAAGCGGCTCAGCTGAATAGAGAACACGGAGGGGCTCCAAAGACCTTTCCCGAGAAGGGAGCCCGTGAGCACAGAAGCCGCTCAAGGTCATTGTCACTAGGGAGATACCAGTCAGCTCCACGTGAGCCCCAGCGGGAACACGGCAGGCGGTTAAAAACAGAACAGCAGCAGCCGATGGTGAGGGGATGCAGAAGCTGGGAATGTCCAACACGGCAGCCACTGTGGGACTGTCCCCCAAAGGGCCCACAGCTCCTTCCTAGGACATTCAGCAGAAATGCATCTGTGTCTGGACCACACTGACTCAGGACGGCAATCACAGAATATAGCGGCCTGGGCTCAGTGGACAACCGTGGTCCACTCACACTAGGATGCCAGAGGGGGAACACAGCAGGTGTGCAGCAAGGTGGAGCACCTAGGAGGCCACCGTATAGCCCACAGAGGGACCCCTGGAGGGAGGCCACGTGTGGCCCACAGAGGGACCCCCTGGAGGGAGGCCACGTGTGGCCCACAGAGGGACCCCTAGGAAGGAGGCCACAGGTCACCCATTGAGGGACACCTAGGAGGCCACAGGTCACCCACTGAGGGACACCTAGGGGGGAGGCCACAGGTCACCCACTGAGGGACACCCGTGGATGGACATCCAGAGGCAGGACGCCCAGTACGGCAGGTGAGTGGCTGCCCAGGGGAGGACCGCTGCCGGTTTCTCTCTGGTGACAGCGTTGGAGTCAGACGGGGGCAGCCGCAGCCTGATGTGGGAAACCACTGCCCCGTGCCCTTCCAATGGTGGATTCTGACTTGTGTGCATTTGGGGGGGAGGGAAATGACTGGGGACACCTCACACTGGTGACCTGCACAGTCCACAGGGCCCTGACTAGGAGTGGTAGCCAGGCAGCAACTGACCTCCGCTTTGGCCAGCCCAGGCTGAGCAAGGAGAGGCCGGTCCCTCTGTGGAGCTGGGGCTCACCCGCCTCCACCCACTCCTCTGTGGCCCTTGTTGCCAGGCCCCTCCGAATGCACAGTCGACAAGTACTCCCAAGAACAGACACCTGCCCCAGGTGACCCGTGAGCAGGGAAGTCCTGTCCTCTCC